GAACTCATGACCTTGCGCTTGCCAGGCAGGCGCTTTTGCCACTGAGCTAAATCCCCAGCCCCTTTGAGCTAAATCCCCAGCCCCTTCGAACTCTTAACAATACTCCTGCCTCAGCCTTCCGAGTGCTGGGATTACAGGCATGTACCACCATGCCCAGCTGTTTTGTTTTTTGAGACAGGGTCTCACTATGTAGTTCAGCCTGGCCTTGAACTCACTATGCAGTCCAGGCTGACCTCAAACTCATTGTAGTCCTGCTTCAGCCTCCTGAGTGCTGGTATTATAAGCGTCTACTACCATGCCCAAGTCTAATAACTTCTGATAGCAGTGCGTAGAGCTTTGTTTTAGCAGTAGGTCAATGTAGGAAATGACCACAGAGGGAAAAAATGACACATTTTGAAGATGAGGATCAATTTGCCTGCCCAGATAGTAAAACAGAGCGTCCAATAATTTACCGTCTCCCCTTAAGCATATGCAGGAGATTGAACCTTAGAACCCAAGACACTAGACAAGCACCCTACTATTGAGCTATATCGCAGACACAGTATTTCAAGGCAGTATGGTACTGGCAGTAGGCACAGTTTGTTGAGACAAAATAACACAGAAACAAGCTGGAGTACATATAGGCAGCCCAAAGAATCAAGGAGGATTGAATTATTTAATAAATAACTATTTGGGCAAAGAGGGGATAGGGAAGAAAGTAATCACTAAAAAGTTAATAGCTTAACTTCATATGTCTTTTTTTATTTGTACCGGAAATGGAACTCAGGACCTTACATTTGCCAGGCAAGTGTTGTGCCACTGAGCTATCTCCCCAGCCTACGTATGCTTTTAAACACATAAAACTTTTAAAAGGCAGACTTGAAACATTTGCAATAAATACGAGATTGATATCCTTTTTTTTCTTTTTTTTTTTGGTACCAGGAATCAAACTCAGAACCTTGGGCTTGCCAGGCAGGCGCTATGCCACTGAGCTATATCCCCAGCCCAAGATTGATATCCTTATATAAAAGCATGTATCTCTGAAACATGGCCTATAGAATATGATTGATCCCACAACTTTGTCAAACAATTTGGTGATGCCTACTTGAAGATTCATATGCCAATTTCACTTTTAGGTCTATGATGTAAAGAAACCTTGTATGTGTACAGAGATACCCAGTATTCATAAAAGGCTCTTGTATTAAACCAAGAGGAGAAAAACCAACAGCAACCAGTTGAGGAACCGGTTAATAGATTGTACCTAATGTGTGATAGAGCAGTACCAATGAATTAGAGCTCCACTCGGACTAAGGATGACTCTCACTGAAACATAATGTGAATCCAAAATACCTAATTCCACAACACTATGTAGATAGGAATGTGCACATCTGTGGCAAAAGTACTATCTAATTGTAAACTCCATGACATTGTAAACACAAGCCACCAGGAGAGGCCACTTCCAGCCTTTTCTTTTTTTCTTCTTTTCTTTCCAGAAAAGAAAATTGTGCGTAGCAAACTTCAATTCTCTACTCCCTCCCTCCTTCCTGTATCCATAATGTTATAGTCATGAAAGCGGGCACATGAGGCTAAACAGAGTCTTGTTGATACCTTTTTATATGTCTGGAGTTTTCACAATAAAATTATTCTGTGCATTGGTAAGAAGCCAGGCATGGTGGTGCACACCTGTAATCCCAGAACTCGGGAGGCTGAGGCAGGAGGATTGTTGCGAGTTGGAGACCAGCCTGGGTTACAAAATGAGCTCAAGGGAGCCTAAACTGCATAGCAAGACCCTGTCTCAGAGAAGAAAAAGAGAAAGAAAAACACTAGAACCCAGTAGAAAAATACACAAAAGACAGTCATATAATGCATAAAAGAAAAGCTAACGATAGCTAGCATCTGAAAATATATTCAAACTTTAGTTTGCCTGGTAAGTCAAGGTTTGAGGGAATAATAAAAGAATCTATTGATAGAGTCTGTAAAGAAGAATGACATGGAAATAGTCATGCCTTTTGACCCATCAGTATGAGCCAATCCCAGAAGTCTCAATAACTGAAGGTTTAAACAAATTGGAGAACTGGAAACATTCTTATTTATAGTTATAGGAAATGGTATATCCCTAGTATGGCACAGTCCGGCATCATTCATGACCACTTTCAGTAACACAGGCTATGCTTAGAATTTTAAGGTTTAAAAAGCGATGTATAAGATCATATGTGGTAACCATGCTGAGGGGGCCACCCTGTCAGCCTCCTTTTTTCCATGTCTGTTTTGTAGGCAATCCCCGTCAACGACGGCATAGAGCTATTGCAGATGGTCCTGAGCTTTGACACCAAGGACCCCCTCATCCTGTCCTGTGTCCTCACTAATATCTCAGCGCTCTTCTCCTTTGTTACCTACAGGCCAGAGTTCCTGCCCCAGGTCTTCTCTAAGGTAAAGCCCACCTCCGACATTCTCAAGCTATTTGTTTGTGGTAACTTTCTGAAAGTGGGTGAGGCAAACTAATAAATAGTGTACCCTTCATGTACCCTGTTTCCCAGTACTCACGGTGGCTCCAGCACCATGCAGAGCATTACCTCCCAGGAGCACTGTGGGAAGAGAGGCGTATAAACAGATGCTTTACCTGTGCACTCTTGCAGTTAAGAAACTTACATAGCGGGAAGAGGAAAAGAGGAGCTGCAGGAGGGAATCTCGTTGTTGGGATCGGGGATCAGGAGAGGAAGGAAAAGTATGGACAGGTCTCAGGTTTCCTGTTTTAGACTAGTGGGCAGCAGAGCCCCTGCCTGAGTGAGAATACTGGATCAGGGCAGAGAGCAAGAATAAGAACAGGAGGTATTTGAAGGACATGAAAAACATCTAGGTGGAGAGAACTCACACAGATTGGTTATTTGAGTTTGAGAATCTAGACCAGAGCTGGGCGTGATGACGCATGCCTGTAATCCCAGCACTCATCAGAGGCTGAAGCAGGGGGATCGCTGTGAGTTCAAGGCCAGCCTGAACTACATAACAGACCCGGTCTCAAAAAAAGAAAAAACAACGAAGACTAGAGCAATAATGGCAGACCTTTCAGAGCTTTCATCGATAACCACCTGCTGCAGCACACTTGCCAGCAGTTCTCTGCCACTGGTCTGGACTCTAGAAAATGGTGAGATACAGTTTAGGATTGTCCATATTTCCAACAGTGATATGCAGATGTAACACAATGCCAATCAAAATACCAATAATATTCTTCACAGAACTGGAGAAAGGCATCTTAGAATTCATGTGGAACCAGAATAGAGCCGGAATAGCAAAAGTGGTCCTGGGGAGCAAGAGCAAAGCATTGGACTTCAAATTATATTACAAAGCTACAGTGGGGCTGGGGATTTAGCTCAGCGGCAAAGCGCCTGCCTGGCAAGCGCAAGGTCGTGAGTTCGGTTCCTGGTACCGGAGAAAAACCAAAAAAAAAAAAAAACAACAACAAAGCTACAGTGATTGAAAAGCAGCATGGTAAAAATAAAAAATAAACAGCATGGTGCTGGCACAAAAACAGACGTGAGGATCCGTGGAACAAACTAGAAGATGCAGAAACAACCCCAAGAACATTCAACTTTTTGATCTTGGAAAAGGGGCCAAAAATATACCATGGAAGAAAGACAGCTTTTTAATACGTGGTGTTGGGAAAACTGGCTGTCCACATGGAGGAGATTGAGTCCAGACCTGTGTCTCTCACCATGTACTAAGCTAAAATCAAAATGAATTAAAGAATTAAATACTAAAACAGAAACAACCTGTGGGAAGATAAAATAGGTAAATTCTTAGTCCTAGTGCAGGCTAAGACTCTCTGAACAGAGCCCAGTTGCGCAGGAAATAGTATCAAGAATCAACAAGTGGGTTCATAACAAATTAAAAAGCCTCTTCCTAGCAAAAGAAACAGCCAACAGAGTGAAAAGACAACCTATAGTGTGAGAAGAAATTTTTGCCCACTATTGCTAGGATAGAGGGCTAAAATCTAGACTTTATAAAGAATTTTTAAAAATTAGATCCCCCAGCCGGGCATAGTGGCGCATGCCTGTAATCCCAGCACTCAGGAGGCTGAGGCAGGTGGATCATTGCGAGTTCAAGACCAGCCTGGGCTACAAAGTGAGTTCAAGGCCAGCCAGAACTGCATAGCGAGACCCTGTCTCAAAAAGAAAAAAAAAAATTAGGTCCCCCAGCAAAGAATAAAAGTCCCAGTCAAAAAATGAGCAGCTGAAATGCATAGATACTCGTCAGAAAAAGAGGTACAGCCAGGAGTAGTAATCCTAGTATACTGGAGGCTGAGGCAGAAGGATCACTGCAAGCTCAAGGCCAGCCTGAACTGCATAGTGAAACCCTGTCTCAAAAAGCCAAAGGAAAAACAAAACAAAAACTTCCTTTTCTTAAGAGGATTAATGGAGCAATAATCATTAAGAACCAGGAGACGTTCTCTTAAAAAAAAAAGGAACTAGAAATGGTCAATAAAAACATGAAAAGATTTTCAGCATCATATTACAGTGGTATGTGTAGACCCATGTATCAAAACAGCGCAGTTTGTAACAGCTGAATTTTGGAATTAACCTGTCTATCAACAGATAAATAAAAAATAAAAAATAAAAATAAAAAATAAATAGATAAAGAAATTGTGGTCTTTATACACAATGGAATACTACTCTGCCATGAAGAAAGATAAAAACGAGTCCTGTGTAGGAAGATGGATGCACGTTGAGACTAATGTTAAGTGAAATAAATCAGACACAACTTTAAATATTACATTGCATCTCTTATATGAGAAAGCCAAATTATAGAGAGCAAAATAAAAGATAATAGGAAGTAGAGAATAGATCTTTCTCAAGGGGGAACGGGACCAAGAGATACAGGGAAAGCAGGGACAGGAGATGAAAAAAAGGAATTAAGGTGTGTTGTGTACGTGTACCAGCTCCACACAAGGAATGGAAGCATGTACTAATAGAATAATAATTTTTTTAAAAATTAGGGCATTGTCACCACAGAAGTTTTAAGACTAGAAGTGAAGTCTAAGAAAGAATATGTGTGTAGAGTTAGGGGATATGTGTGTCTAGCAGAGACCCTGGGGGATCGTTGTCATTGGAGGGAGAGTGGCAAAGATGAGAAGCCCCAAAGAAGCTAAAAGGAAAAAAAAAGTGTTGGGTTCTAGGCCAGCAGAACTTCAGAAGAGTGGACGTATGCTTTGGAATGGGAATTCTCTAAGAGTTGGGTGTGCTCAGTGGGTTTTATTGGGCTCTTACCTGCATTTAATTCTGGCACAGTGGCTAGTGTAGCAGTCATTCTGCATCCAGTTAAGGGAAGTTGTAAAATGACTGGGGGAGGTAGATTACTCAAACTCTTGATAAACAGTAGAAGAGAGTGTTTTCGTAGTTGTTTGAACAACAGCATGAATTGTTCTGGGACTACATAATTTTTTACTCTGTAAAATGTTTTGATGGTAAAATTGCAAATCTCAAGCCTCTTACAGAAGTAGCTGAGAAAACAAACACCTGAAGGCTTGTAACACTAGGAGGAAGTTTTTTGTTACAGATTGTTATTGAAAACACATTTCCAGGGTTTTGTTGGAAATTTCATGATAACTACTGTTTAAAAATATACAAATAAACAAATAATATATACGAATAACCTTTTCTCTCTCTCTCCTTAGCTATTCTCATCTGTCACTTTTGAAAGTATTGATGAAAATAAGGTAAAAAAAGAAATTAATTAAACTAGCACATTCTAAATTCTTAGAAGCAAAAATGTAGATGCCTATGAGCTGGGCGTGGTGGCGCATGCCTGTGGGCCAGCACTCAGGAGGCTGAGGCAGGAGGATAGTTGTGAGATCAAGACCAGCCTGAGCTGCATAGTAAGACCCTGCCTCAAAAAAGACCAAAAAAAAAAAAAAAATGTGGATACCTAATACTTTGTCTAGATTGATATGTAGTGGGATGGGTTAGGAGAAGCAGGAGGTTGTCACAGGGTGTTTTGCTCCAAAGAGAAAAGCCATTGTGAATTTGCCTGTGACTTGTGACTTTCTCTACCATTAGTAACTTGTCTCAGTAGTGACCCCAAGGTTGTGCAATGTCTCTGCTAGGCTCCTCGCACACGAGCGGTGAGGAATGTGAGGAGGCACGCGTGCTCGTCCATCATCAAGATGTGCCGTGACTACCCTGAGCTTGTGCTGGTGAGCACCAACCCTGCCGCGTCGCCTGCTGAGCTTGGTTACACTTCTGTGTAACGCAGTTTTCAAACACTCCCAGAAAGGAACTGGGAACTGTAGCTTTGCGTAGAATGAGGCTCCTTGAGTTGGTATGCTCATCCTCTTGGAGCAGTTAATATTCAGATTTATTCCCTCGGAATGCATGTGTTTTGTCCGTGTGGAGGGCTGAGTTTCCCATTAGAAATGTATGACAGCTCTTGGCCATGGGATGCCTGTAATCTATTGTTGAATGATATACAGAGCCTTGAGAGAAGCCAGATGAAAATTCCAACCCTGGGGGAGCTGTAAGAAATCCAGCAGTAGTCCAGATAACAGATTAATAACAAATCACTTTTCTGATACACAGCAGTTGTGTCCCTGTGTAGGTAACAAACTTATGGCTGCCCGTGAAGATACTGCAAAGCCGATGGAGAAAATAGCAGTTGTTTCCCAGTTGTGCTGTAGGAAAGCCCAGTAATCCAAACACTCAGGCAGGAGCCGTCTTCTGCTTAACTGCCTTGCTGCTCAGGCAAAAGGAGAGCATTAGGACACAGTAACTAAATGATAGCCTCATAGGCCTCACCCTCCTTGGGGCTGCCTTGCTTCTCTTCCTTTCTCCCCTGCGGTACCAGCGTCTGCATGGAGAGCAGGACATCACTGACACTGGCTTTTCTCTCTGCTCTACAGCCCAGTTTTGACACGCTGTACAACCACGTGAAGCAGCTCTTCTCCAACGAGCTGCTGCTCACGCAGATGGAGAAGTGTGCCCTCATGGAGGCGCTAGTGCTCATCAGCAACCACTTCAAGAACTACGAGCGTCAGAAGCTGTTCCTGGAGGAGCTGATGGCGCCAGTGGCCAGCATCTGGCTTTCTGAGGATATGCACAGGTGGCCCCAGCACTCCCACACTGAGCTTGCGTTCTGTGTCTGGAGCTGGGTGGCGGTGGGGCCAGGGCATTATCAGTGATGTCAGAGCCCTCTGAGAGTGGCCTTTTGTAATCTAGTCTCTAAGGCTATACTTTCAGGGATCATTTTTGTAGTATGTAATCCAGTCTCTGGAAATGCCACCTTGCTTACAGAGGTGTGGCAGAGGCGGAGAGGGGAGGAAAGCATGGCTGTGGGGTGCAGAGCTCAGCTGCAGGGGCCTTGCGGCAGGTGCACCTTTGGGGAGAATAGAATGGCCTGCAATGGCTGGGCAAAGTAGAGATACTATAGGGCAGAAACAGTTTTCCTCTTTACCTTCTGAAGTTTGTGTACTGTCAGGCTGGGCATGGAGGCACTTTATGTGCCTGTAATCTGAGCACTTTGGGGGACTAAGGCAGGAGGATCGCAAGTTTGAGCCCAGCATGGGCAGTTTAGTTAGAGAGACCCTGTCTCAAAATTCAAAAAGTGGGGCAGGACAAGGCTGTGGATGTAGCTTGGTTCAAAGTTTTTGGGTTCAATCCCCAGTACTACCAAAAAAATAAATTTTTTCTTTTTTTGTCTTTTTGAGACAGGGTTTCACTGTGAAATTCAGGCTTTGAATTCACTCTATAGCCCAGGCTGGCCTGGAACTTGCAGTAATCCGTCTGCCTCAACCTTCTGAGAGCTGCTATTACAGGCGTGTTCCACCTTGCCTGGCTCAAAAATTAAACTCTTGGGGCCTGGGATATAGCTCAGAGGCACAGTGCCTGCTTGGCAAGTGCAAGGTCCTGAGTTTGATTCCCGGTACCCAAAAAATACTGGGGGTTTTTTTTTGGGTTTTTTTTTTTTTTGCCCTTTTGAGACAGTTTCACTATGCAGTTCAGGCTGTCCTTGAACTCACTTTGTAGTCCAGGCGGGCCTCAAGCTCATAACGATCCACCTGCCTCAGCCTTCCACGTGCTGGGATTATAGGTGTGCGCCCCCACACCCAGTTGTGATGGGAGGTGGGGGGATTCTTAAAGTGTTGCTAAGAATATTTGGGAGTAGGAAGTTTAAACCTTCAAGTGACAGCTCTTAAACAATAGGATTAAACTGTACATTGGGGCTAAATAATCAGCTGCTTAGCTCCCCTGGAAGAAGTTGTCCTTCTTTTAAATCAGGATCTAAACACGCTTTCCCCACCACCCCACAGAGTGCTGTCAGATGTGGACGCTTTCCTTGCCTATGTGGGTGCAGACGTGCAAAGCTCTGACCCTGACGTGGAGGACCCCTGTGGTTTCAACCGCGCTCGAGTAAGACTGTGGGTTGGCAGTTGTGCGGGCTGCAGGCAGGAGTAAGATGTCAGCCGTTTGTCAAGTTTCTCATAGATGAGTTTTGTCTACACTGGTGAGAAGCCTGGGAGTCTCTACTTCCTGAGCTTCTCCTTTCCTCTCGTCTTTAGTTCTGACTTCTGGTAGTTCCCACCCCAGAGCACGTGCTCTCTCCTGTGGAGTCGCTCTTTTGGCTTTAAGGATGTCTAAGTAGCTCTGAAGGGGTAAAGAGGAAGCAGGTCTGAGTCTTCCCTGTGGTCACTCTGTGCCTTGGAAAGTCCTGACTGGTGGCCTGGCCTGAGACCTGAGGCGTCAGCAGTGCTTTGATCTTCAGACAGGTGTCGTTCATTGCCCTGTCATGGCCCCAGTCCCTTTAGTTAACTTGGAGACCCTGAGGAAGGCTGACGGGAAAAGCTGCCACGCTCCAGGCTGTGGGGAACGGTGGCAGGCCTGGGTACTTTGTGCTGGCCCATGCCTCAGCCCTGCCAGCAAGGTCAGCAAGCCCTGGAAAGATAGGCCAGTCTTCCCAGTCACAGGGAAGCCCACCCTGGTTCTGAAAGTGGCCGTGAAGCCACTGCTCTTGGGCTTGGCCTTAGAGGAATGGGTGGGGGTCGCATGGAGTACAAGGCTCTCTTTCCTTTCCTCTGGCCTGTCACTGTGGCTGCACCAGTGAATGTATGTAACAGTGCTTTTGTGTTTTCTTCCTCTTCTGTTTATCTGCTTTCTTGCTTCCCTGTAGATAAGCTTTTGTGTGTACAGCATCCTGGGCATCGTGAAGCGAACTTGCTGGCCTAGTGACCTCGAGGAGGCCAAAGCTGGGGGCTTCATGGTTGGCTATACGCCCAGTGGGAACCCCATCTTCCGGAACCCCTGCACAGAACAGGTTCTGAAACTGCTGGACAATTTGCTTGCCCTTATAAGGTCAGTCAGAATAGTAGTTTCTCTCTGTTGCTTTTTCCTTTTTATAGTAAGACTTTCCAGAATTTTAATCTGATAATGTGACGTATCATGACAGTGGTAATGAGGGAGCAGGTCATAATTCTTTCCAGAAGGGGTTTGTCTTCTTTTTAAAAATTATAGCTCACACTTGGGAAAGACTTACGTTCCATGGAGACCCAGGGAGACCTGGTAAGGGCTGATCCCTGAGGGCCTCTTTCATTTTGAATCTCCTATGTGTGTTTCTCCCACTTGTTTATACTTCATCTTTTATTTTTAAGTTTTATTTCTTCTAAATTTTTGCCAATAAAGGAATTGTTCATTGGGAGCAAGACAGTTGCTTTTTTGCTGTTTATTTCCCCCCAGCTTCTTTTTTTTTTTTTTTTTTTTTTTTGAGACAAGGGCTTGCTGTGTAGCCCAGGCTGGCCTTGAACTCACTATATGTAGCCCAGGCTAGTCTTAAACTCAAGGTGATCCTCCTGCCTCAGCTTCCTGAGTGCTGGGATTACGAGCATGCACCACTACGCCCAGCTCTAGCTGCTTTTGTAGTGGGCTTCTCTGGGTGCTATTCTGTGGCCTGATCTGAGCCTGGCAGTGATGTTTGAACTCTACTGGACCAGATGTGTCAGAGGAAAGTATGATACACTTTTAACCTCAGTGTCCCCATTTCAAAGCAGAATCTAAGATGAGCAGCCTCTGCTGTCACCTGAGTCCATGTCTGAAAGCAGAATGGGGGCCTCTTCCCCATATAGCAGATCAGAATCTGGGTTTAGCAAGATTCCCAGGTGGTCTGTGTGTACATTAAAGTTTCAGAGTTACTGCTCTGTGTTATCTGAGATAATACGTTCGAGTACGTGGACACTGCCAGGCTAGCTAGTTACTGCGTGCGTGTTTTATGATTCAGGGGTGCTATCTAAAGGGAAAGATAGGTTTATGATAGAATTTAACTCTGTTGGCAAGAGCAGAATTTGCCATTTTTTTAAGGTTGAGTTATTTATGTTGTTAGCAATAAATTTAGAGACACAAAAGGAAACTATGCCAAGATTGCTTTTTATGTCTCACAGTATTTTTGATTTATACACTGGTACTGTGTTCCTGTTCTTTCTGGCCTGTGACCCAGGAGGTCCAGACAGACTCTCACCTGGGCAGCCCACGCTGTCACCTTGCAGGGGAGCCTTCCTGAGCACAGACATCGAGAGAGAAGCCTAGGAACCAAAAGTTTTAGGGTAACAGTCAACTAAAGTAGAGACCACAGTGCCTGATAGAATTGGCATGGTGGGCGTGTCTCTGGAAATAGACAATATGTTATTCTGATTTCAAAAGAAGAGGTTTCAAGGTTTCAATAAAGAAGTAGTTTTGTGTGTTGACGTTAGCAAATGTAATCAAGGAAAGGCTGGTTTCCATATTGATGGTTTTGGAACCTTCTTCTGTAGCTTAGACTTGGGGAAAAGATGACATTATGTGTCCAGAGACCTTGTGGCCATTTTTTAGGCTTGTGACCAAAATCCATGTGGTGAAAACTAGACCTAGGGCTGGGGATGTAGCTCAGTGGTGTGAGCACCTGCCTGGCAAGCACGAGGTCGTGAGGTTGATTCCCAGTACCACAAAAAAAAAGAAAAGAAAAGAAAATTAGACCTAGAAACTATGTTCATTCCTGATTGGGTGAAGTGCGTGCAAGACAATAGTACTCTTTATTATCTTGATCTTTTTCTCTCTTTCTTTTTTTGGGGTGGGGTGGGTACTGGGACTCGAACTCAGGACCTTGTGCTTGTCAGGCAGGTGCTGTGCCACTGAGCTGTATCTGCAGCCCTGTCTTGCTATTTTTTCTAAGAGTTCAGTGCTTTTAGAAAATGCCACAAAAGGAGGGGTGTGGAACTGCACACCTGTAATCCCAGCACTCTCAGGATGGCTGAGCTCTCAAAACCGCCTGGGCTATGTAGGAGGTTCAAGGTCAGCCTGAACTGCATAGCAAGACCTTGTCTCAAAAAAAGAAAAAGAAATAGGATCTTCAGTAATAAATTAACTTTATCTAAAAATATTTTTACTTTATGAATTTAATTTTTAACTTTGAGTCCTTTTACACTTAGCTTAAAATACATTGTACATATACTCTGGTTTCTCTTCAGATTGCATAAATCTTTCACCTTTTAAAATACATTGGACAGCTATACAAAAATATCTTATGTCCTTATTCTATAAGCAGTTTTTTATGTTTTTACTTTTTTCTGGTTGTTTTGTTCTTTTTTTGTGTGTTTTGTGGTTTTTTTGTTTTGTTTTGTCTTTTTGAGACAGGGTCTCGCTATGCAGTTCAGGCTGCCCTTGAGCTCACTTTGTAGCCTAGGCTGGTCTTGAATTTGCAACAATCCTCCTACCTCAGCCTCCCAAGTGTTGGTATTACAGGCGTGCACCACCACACCCAGCATGTTCTGTTTTTTTGACAGTCTCACTGTGTTGCTCAGGCTGACCTTGAACTTGTAGTTCTCTTACTCTAGCCTCCAGGGTAACTGGAACTACAGATGCATGCCACAGTGCCTAGCTCTCTTATATTTTAAACTTTTTTCTTCAAAACTAAAACACAAGCCAGGCTTGCTGGTACACATTTGTATTCCCAGCTTGTTGCGAATTTGAGGCAGGGATCCCTTGAGCCCATGAGTTCAAGACTGGCCAAGGCCATGTGTGAGACCCACTGTTACGCACACACACAGACTTGCAAGTTTGATAAACTCCTAAACTGATAACATCATTATCATCAGTATCAAGCATTATGGTATCGCATCCCAAACACGACTGTGTGGGCTACATTTTTATGTGCCTGACAGTGCAGTAGGGTTTGTCCACACTGGCACCTGCACAAACACTTAACTGCCTGCAGTGCTGTGTCACAGCAGCTCCGTCACTGGGAGACTTTCCCAGTTCCATTACTGTCAGTCTTGCAGGACCACTGTTGGAGTGGTGCACTGTTGACCAGCATCCTCCTGTGGCACATGACTGTACTCAGCTGGCGTGCGTCACGTCTGTGTACCTGAAATGCTTTCTGATTGTCTTCATGAAGAGACATCAGCAGTCATGCACCCACTCTGGCTTTGCGCATTCAATGGACAAGAGGGGGTCTGTGGCCATTGGGGACCTGGGCTCAGTCCATGATCCCAACAGACAAAGCCATTTACTGCCCTTGTCAATCACAGTGGTAGGGGATGTGTGTGTGTGTTGGGACCATGTTCTTCCCAGGGGCTCAGAACACCTTGGCAGGTTCTGGTCTTAGAACGGAAACCAAACCTGAAAAGCTGGGCGCCTTAGCACCTGTTCCAGATCCAGCTTGTGAATTCATAGCGTTCTTGGTTTTCCGTCCACAACTGCGAATGGTCAGAAAACCCCTCCGAGCACAGAGCACTAGCTCGGGGTTAAAAGAATTATACTTGGATTCAGGTTTTGTGCTCTGATGTTGTCCTGCTGTCTTGAGATTTGGGCTTTGTATTCATTGGTCTTTAGTGTTAGGTACTATTTATCCCTAGACATCGCTTCCAGTCTTCCTTCTCCAGGGACTGCCAGGTGTCTGTCCCCGTGGAGTGGCATGGATGGGGTCTGTCCGTGTGGATGGGACCATCACCAAATCACAAGGTCAAACCCACCGTCTCTGCTTCCACAGACTGGGATGCATAACATGTTGTCCTTATTTCTTTCAGAACCCACAACACGCTGTACGCACCGGAGATGCAAACCAAGATGGCTGAGCCTTTTGCCAAGGCTCTAGATATGCTGGAAGCAGAGAAATCTTCCATATTAGGTAAAAAAAACTGTACCCTCCAAGCTCACCTTATCTCTGATGGGCTCCTCCAAAGCACCAGTCTACCTTGGACCTCATCCTCCTTAATCTGGCTCTATCTTGACAACCTATTTGTTTAGAAATAGATTTGTGTAGTTCTAAGGCTGTAAAGGACAACTGTGCTTATTTCATTATTTGAGTATACAGAGATCTGCATAGTGCCTTCCCCCAGCCAGTGCCTCTTTCCGTTTAACCAGTGGGTGTTAGAGCTGTTAGATCATAAACAAGCCATGGCTTTTAACAAAAAGACATGCGTGTTCTTATATATACATACAGTCAACATTTTTTAGGGGCTGGGGATTTAGCTTAGCGGCAAAGGGCCTGCCTGGCAAGCACAAGATTGTGAATTTGATTCCTGGTACTGGAAGAAAAGACAAAAAAAAAAAATTTTTTTTAAAGTGGTAGAGTCTAAGCCACTCTTTCTACTTGTTACCTTAATTAGAATATTACTTTAACTCATTTTTGCCATTGACACAGCATGAAAATAACTGGACAGTAGTGATGCTGATATTTGCTAAGAAAGAAAAGTGGCAGAGCTCTGTGGCAGTTTTATTGGAAGACCCAACCCAAATCCCCTTTAGGAAAGCTATTAGAAAAGAGTGAAAAATTTTCTTGCCACAGAGCCTTGAGTGGCAAGTGATGAGGTCAGAGAAGAGGCTATATTGAGTGTTCAGGGCAGACAGAGTAGCAGAACCCAGGTCCTGAGGCAGGGAGCAAAACACTTGGGATGGCCAGGAACTTAGAAGAGGAACTCGGAACTGGAGCACGGGGAGCAGGGCTGGGCATCTGGTCAGCAGTCAGAGCTGGAAGCATCGAAACTGTCTGGCCTTCGTGCCTGTCTCTGAGCTTTAGGCTGCAGCGCAGCCCCTGGTGTCTGTGTGCCCAGCATGGCTTCAGCCTGGCTCTGGCTGCAGCCAAACCACCAATGAAGTTAATGAGAGGAAGAGTGCTTCTCGCCTGTCCAGAGCTCATATCTGTCTGTCTTTGCACAGGTGGTCCTGGATCTTTTCCCTGAGTGCCTCTGCACTTAAAACATATGCTGGAGGCACCAGTCAGAACTCCCAAGATGTGTGTTGCCATTAATATAAAAAAAGGCTTGGTTCACACATACATACACATGCTCCCACGCCCATGCCATTATGCACATTAAGCCAAATGTTGCTGCTATGCAGACATGTGGCCAGCCAGACAAACTAGAAAGGACACACAGCAGTCTGGTAGTTTTTGACTGTGCCTTGAAATAGAAACTACCTCTTAAAAGTGCAGACAGATCACCTTTAGGTAAAAGGTCCAAGTGCCTCCGATGGGTAGAAGACAGGGCCAGCTGCTTTGTGGAGCTCACACGTGCACATGTGTCTGACCCGGCCTTATCCGCAGGATTACCTCAGCCTCTCTTGGAACTCAATGACTACCCTGTGTACAAAACCGTCTTGGAGAGGATGCAGCGTTTCTTCAGCACCCTCTATGAAAACTGGTAAGAAACCTCACTGCCTGCCTGTCTTCCCAGAGTGAGTGTGTCCTAGGCCTGGCGGGGTTAGCTTCTGGTCTAGAATTGCAGCGTACAGGTGAGGTAGGTGAGCGTTTGAAGGGACATGGATAATACTAGTGCCAAGTCACAATGGGCAGCCCGCTTTTTTATGTTTGCCTGTTTTGCCATTGTCATGAGTCTCACAGTCCTAGCTATGACATGATGTTTCTTGCCAAGTTGGCTGTGTTTCTGGTGCATAAAATCAGGAGACTGAAGTAGAAGAGGGGCGAGGAGCTACCTTTTTTTGCCCAGCCCCACTGCCTGTGGCTGCTTCCCATGAGGCAGGAGGAGGCTGCCGGCCAGGACTTGGTCAGTGGGTCTTGGGTGTGACCTGTGGTGATGCCCAGCACAGGAGCATACCACACCCTGAGTTTTGGCTTCAATGAACGCCATGTTCAGTAAGCCAGGCCGGTCCACTGCTCCATGATGAGGCCATGTTCCATAAGAAACACCTGGGTTACCAGCATTTGGCTTTATACAGAAGGTTCGGTTTATACCTTTAAAGCTAAAGGTCTTCTAAGAAATGAATTGAACTACTTGTCCAGCTAAATCTTACCGTGAACTAGAAATGAAATCCTGGGGCAATCAGGGCCAGCAGCAGCAGGTGTGCAGTTTGTTGCTGATAATGATCTGCCCCTCAGCTTCCACATCCTTGGGAAGGCCGGCCCCTCCATGCAGCAGGACTTCTACACCGTGGAGGACCTCGCCACCCAGCTCCTCGGCTCGGCCTTCGTCAACCTGAACAACATTCCTGACTACCGGCTCAGGCCCATGCTGCATATCCTTCCGGAAATCCGAAGTCCCAGATAACCCAGAAAGTGGGAAAATTAAGAATAGGAAGCAGAGGGAGGAGAGGAAGGGATCCTGTATCCTCGGCAGTCCGTCATCCCATAAAAGACAGGAGGATTGTGGGACATGACAGAAAGAATATGGAGGTGTCCAGGGGTCTTCAGAGCTCCTTTGGCCATTATGAGATTTTCCTTGGGGAAAAATCTTTAACTTCCCACCATTTTATTTTGCTTTGTTTTGTTGAGATGAGGCTCTTTTTTCTTTCCTTTTTTTTTTAGCCTGGGCTGGTGTTAGACTCCTGGACTCACATAGTCCTTTTTAAACTTTATTAATCCATGTGTGCAGTACCTACTGATCCCATTTGTCATGGGGATTTGGTTGGGTTGGGGGTTTTTTTTTTTTTTTGGTACCAGGAGTCAAACTCAGGACCTTGTACTTGCCAGGCAGGCACTGTGCCACTGAGCTAAGTCCCCAGCCCCATTGTGAGAATTTGGTACATGTATATAACATATCTTAGTTTTTTTACATCCCCTTTCCCTCTCTTCCCACACAAGTGGTCTTCCTGTCTCAACCTCCTAAGTAGCTGGGACTACTGGTACATACCCCTGCAGACATGTGGCCAGCCAGACAAACTAGAAGGGACACACAGCAGTCTGGTAGTTTTTGACTGTGCCTTGAAATAGAAACTACCTCTTAAAAGTACAGACAGATCACCTTTAGGTAAAAGGTCTAAGTGCCTCCGATGGGTAGAAGACAGGGCCAGCTGCTTTGTGCCCACTGTGCCCACTTAAGTGCTTTCCTATGAAAGAACTACTTGATCTGAGTCTGGTGGTGCATGCCTGTAGTCCTAGCACTTGGGAGGCTGAGGCAAGAGGATTGCCATGAATTCAAGACCAGCTTGGACTATATAGTGCATTAAAGGTCAGCCTGAGCTACATAGCAAGACCTCCATCTGAAAAAAACAAAACCAAAGAAATACTTGTATAACTCTGTATTCTTTCAGCCTTTTATTTTAAAGCTGGCATGGCGGCACACGCCTATAATCCCAGCACTCAGGAAGCTGAGGCAGGAGGATTGCTGTGAGTTCCAGGCCAGCTTGGGCTACAAAGTTGAGTTCCAGGCCAGCCTGAACTGCATAGTGAGACCCTGTCTAAAAAAAAAAAAAACATTATTTTAAAGCTGTTATGAGTCCTTTCTTCAAATGTTACAGGAAGAATAATGACGGAGGGTTGATGACAAGGACATCTTGGTTTTGTTTGTTTTTTAGTTTTGTTTATTTTTGAGACAGGGCCTCGCTCTATAATTCAGGTTCACTATTTAGCCCAGGCTGACCTTGAATTCATGGCAATCCTCCTGCTTCACCCTCCTGAGTGCTGGGATTGCGGGCATATTCCACCATGCCCTGGCTAACTGTGTTCTATTTCTTCTCTCCCTTCTTTTGGGCAGCCCAGTGCCCATGGTGTACAGTCTGGTAGAAAGGACGGTTGGACTCAAAATACAGAGGGATCAAGTGCCCCTGTGGCTCCAGGTTTCGGGAGAAGAGTGTAAAGCGTTCAGCTGTCAACATAAGCTGTTGGCACCTTGAATCCTTTAGGGTTGGCTCTTTGTAGGGCTGCTGCTGCTGCCTTGTGGGGGAGCGGGGCATGCCCCCATGCTAAGCTTCTTAACCTGCGCTGCACGGGTCTTTGTGAAGCCTCTGGTGCTCTTCTGTCCCCCGGAGCACTACGAAGCCCTGGTGTCGCCCATCCTCGGACCTCTGTTCACCTACCTCCACATGGTGAGAGGGGTCAGGAGGGAGGGCAGCGTGTTCGTGGCACTGGCTACTCAATGTGTAACCTGCCAGCCCTGTGGACTTGTCACTGACTTGATGGCCAAGTCTTTCTGAGTAGAGAGACATTTGTTCTGCATGGACAGGAGCAAAATTATAGAAACCGTCTCTAGCTGGTTTTGTTTTCAGTGCTGGACATTGAATCCACGGTCTCATGCATTTTAGACAAGTGCTCCCCACCACTGAGCTACATCTTTTTTATTTTGAGATCAGGTTTCACTAAGTTGCCCAGCCTGCCCTCAAATTTGTGATCCTCCTGCCTCAGCCTCCAAAGAGCTGAGGTTACAGGTCTGCATGACCACATCTGGCTCCATGGCTCCTTGTCTGTTTTTTAACTTTGCCAGGCTCTACTAAGAAGGCCTATCATTGATACCTGGATCATCATTGGCTAATTTTTGTCACGAAGCAGACGTTAGATAGTTTGTGCTCTGGTCGTCTCCCGGTCCTAGCACATACTTCCTTTGTGTTTTCCCAGAGGCTTTCCCAGAAGTGGCAAGTGATTAATCAGAGGAGCCTGCTGTGGTAAGGAAGCCCACCCTCAGGTCTGGGTGGGGAAAGGACAAGGGGCAGAGAGGGATTCTCCTGATCCAGGGGAGCTGAAGTCATTCTCAGCTGAGGCGGCGGGTGACGCTGGACAGGCTATGCACGACAGGCTGGCTCTGAGATCTCGCCTGCATGGGGGCTTCCGTCACCTTATCCCAGGCGGAGTCACAGGTCAGAAGGGCCCTTGGTGGGCCCCTACTGTCCCTTTCCCGAATCTGCATAGTACACAGAGGCAAAGGACGCAGTAGAAGAAAGAGGGCACCAAGGGGGTTACTGCTTTCGATGTCCGGTTTCTCTGCACCCTCATGGTATCCGGCTCCCTGGTTTTCAGCAGTGGAGAAGAGGAGGCTGTGGAGGAAAACCCTGAGTCCCAGGAGATGCTGGAGGAGCAGCTGGTGAGGCTGTTGACCCGAGAAGTCATGGACCTCATCAGTAAGTGGTGTCCAAGAGCCGCAGGTGGAAACAGGCTTAGGTCTGCTGACAGGGTGCCGAATACTGACCTGATGGCCAGCGGTGTGGCTCAAGCCATGGAACCAAAACAGGGAAAGAAGCAGCAGCTAGCTAATCCTTACGCTGAACGCAGAACATTTTATGGGCTGCGAGCTGGACAGTGTCCACGGCAGAATATGAGGCTGTCATCTCAGTAGAAACTCAGATAATGTTAGAGATCATTTTCCTTTTTTTTTTTTAAATAGGGACAATTGTAAATTCTTGCACATGGAGGTTATTGATTTTCTTTTCTGTTTTTGTAAATGTTGAATGAAACAGCACTTGGCCATTTCATTATTGGTAATACAGAGTAGACAAGGGTCTGTCAGTCACCCCTCTGCCACTTCTGTCAGGATTCTGTCACTTCCCCCAGCTAACTGAACGTGAGGAGGGACCAGAGCACAGCCTGGTCAGGCCTCAGAATCCCTCTGCTATTTTTTTTGTTTTTTTTTTTTTGTTTTTCTCCGGTACCGGGAACCGAACTCACGACCTTGCGCTTGCCAGGCAGGCGCTTTTGCCGCTGAGCTAAATCCCCAGCCCCTTCCCTCTGCTATTATAGATGAAGCTGTTCTTTGATCCCAACAGTTCCCCTCCCCTCCCTGGCTGGAGACAGTGTGGGATCATCTCCTGAGGTGGCTTTGGGCAGGGGTGATATTAACCCCCCTGTTTACCCAGTAACCCTGTTTTCTTGCCACAGCGGTTTGCTGTGTGGCAAAGAAGAGTGCAGACCACAGTGCCGCTCCGCCTGCAGATGGAGAAGGTGAGTGAGCCCGTCACCCGGCCCGGAGGTCTGCTCTTCTGGGCCAGCTCTGCTCCTGCAAAAACCTTGTTAAGCTGGCTGACAAGGGTGAGAGGTGACCCTCTAGCTATTGCCATGCCAGCCTTGTTGCTGAACTTCCACCGTCCTTGTGCTGCAGAGCCTTTGCACCTGCTCCTTCCTGTATCTAAACTACACTTCCAGCTCTCTGCAGGGCCTGTTCTCTCGCTTCATTCAGGTCTCTGCTCCAGTGTTGCCTCCTCCAGGTCTTCTGTGATAACTGATCAAAGATAACAACCACCCATTCTGTAGATGTCTTCTGCTCTATTTTGCTTCATGGTATTTCTTACCACATGCTTTTATGACCGTATTTATGTGTTCATTCATTGCCTCTTTCTCTCAATAGAATGCAATCTCCTATCTGGGCAGGGGCTCTATCCTTTTCCTTTTATATTCTCGGTGACTGCATCAGCTCTTCTCATAGTGGCTCTCACATCTCTGTTTAGCATTAAAAGGTCCTCAGTGTGTGCAGCTTCCTTTGCTGCCCAGCTTCCCATTTCATGTGTCCAGTGCAGTAAAACTCCAGGAGCTCTGCCCCAGGCCTGGGCTTCTGCTGCCTTATGTGTGGCTGGGGGTGAGTGTGTGTATGTGTATGTGTGTGTGTGTGTGTGTGTGTGTGTGTGCGCGTGCCTGGGGTAGGTGGATGGGTGTGTATATGTGTGTGCGCATGCGCACACACGTGAGCATTTGTCTGCCTGCTGCTATCCCACTACTCAGCACCACCTGCCTGGGACAAACCCACACCAGTATAGGCCTCCTTTATGAAAGCATGGGGCTTGACATTCCACTCTGCCTACAGATGAAGAGATGATGGCCACTGAGGTGACCCCATCTGCCATGGCAGAACTTACTGACCTGGGCAAATGTCTGATGAAGCATGAGGTGGGTAGGAGCCAGAAGTAAAACTCCCTTTGATAGTCACTTTTATTATTTTCCCACTTATCTATTAAAACTCCAGCTTGCAGTGTATAACAGAGAAGTGCATATTTTCAGCTGTAATCCCCCTTCCTTTCCCCTCCAGGATGTCTGCACTGCGCTGTTAATTACAGCCTTCAATTCCCTGGCCTGGAAGGACACTCTGTCCTGCCAAAGGACAACCACGCAGCTCTGCTGGCCTCTGCTTAAACAAGTATGCTTATCCCTCCCCATGACCCTCATAGAAGGTTTGGGTCATGTTCATTAATTGAATCAGCTGGGAGAATCGGGGTGCTGGGGCCTTCTGAGAGCCCCTGTGGCCCTGAGCACAGCCGTGTTTCCAGGTTCTGTCAGGGACACTGCTCGCTGACGCCGTCACATGGCTCTTCACCAGTGTGCTGAAAGGGTTACAGACACACGGGCAGCATGACGGCTGCATGGCCTCCCTGGTCCACCTGGCCTTTCAGGTCTATGAGGCGCTGGTGAGTGGGGGGTGGGGGGCTGTGGCTTCTTGGCTCAGCTTGCAGGGTGTTGGTATCCGCTGGATCACTACTACTACTGCCTGTGGTGGGTGTGATGGAGCGGGCGTGGTGGCTGGGTCAGAACCCACATCGAGTGAGTTTATCCACTCAGCGTCCCAGGTACCTGGAGATGAGAGCTGTGATGGAGCAAATCCCAGAAATACAGAAGGACTCTCTGGACCAGTTTGACTGTAAACTGCTGAACCCCTCCCTACAGAAAGTGGCTGACAAGCGGCGGAAGGACCAATTTAAACGCCTCATCGCAGGCTGCATTGGGGTAGGTGCTCCCTCTGCATCGTCCTCCAGTCCCACCAGCTGGCTTGTGGTCTTCGTAGACTATGTGGCAAACAGATCACCAGCCATCATGGGTGGTCTCTGAGCCACTTCGGGGGCCAAACATTGATTCTTACTTTCTTTCTACAGAAACCCTTGGGGGAACAGTTCCGAAAAGAAGTGCATATTAAGAATCTTCCCTCACTTTTCAAAAAAACAAAGCCAATGCTGGAGACAGAGGTGCTGGACAATGAGGGGGGCAGCCTGGCCACCATCTTTGAACCCTGAATCAAGCTTTTGGGCATCCTTCCTCGGCCTTTGTCGTCATCTCTTCTTCCCTTTCGTAGCTAATCTCTAGGCCCCTCTCGCACTGCCACCTCACTGTCCACCACTGTCAGCTGGAGCCAAGCTGGGTCTGAGCAGAAGAGTGGGCCCTGTGCAGGAAGGGCCAGCATCCTTCTAAGGCACCAGGAAAGGGAGTCAGGGCGGACACATCGATTTGTCGTGATCTCCTGATTAGTTCCATTCTGCTTGCAGTTTGGGCTTGCCTGAGAAAAGGTAGAGCAGAGCGGTCCTTCTCCCCAAGCCTGCCACCCCAGTGCAGCCACACACCTGTACAGAATGGGAGCTGGGGTGCTGTGCCCAGCACCGCAACCAGCTGGGCTTGTAAGGGCTGAGCCCCTGACCACTTGTGCCAGAGTTTCTCCCGGACCATTACGCGTCCCATTGAGCCCCAGCTGCTGGGCTGGCAGGGACCCTTCTCCACCCCCAGTGGCTTGTCTGCCTTAGGTGCTAAGTGCTCAGCTAAATTCAGCCAGTTCTCTCATCTGCATTTGCAGCGAGAACTTGGTCACGTGATGGGCTCCATGGTACAGGCTACTGCTAGTCTGGGCATGGATAGGACGTGCAGGCACCAGGGCTGGGGAGCGTTCAGTGCTCTCTGACGACCCCGAGAGTTCACACATCTTGCCCTTTCACAAATGACCCTTAGGGATTTCCCCAGCCTACGGTCTACTCGGGCCTGACAGCCACAAGCGATACCGTTGTCACCCAAGGATAATCCAGACCAACTAGGCTTAATTTGTGATAAGCAGCTAGCAGAGCGACTGGTCTCATAGGACCAGCTGAGTCCAGGTGCCTTTAAAATTCTCATGGCCTTTCAGGTCCCTGGTCACTTGTCTCAAGGGCCAATTCTGAAAGAGAAAAAATTTTTGCCTTCCCATCACAACCTGTCCAAAGTCCACCCTAGAGGTCACTGGAAGGCCCCAAAGCAGAGGGGACGTGGTGGGACCTAGTCTTGGGGTAACCCTGCAGACAGGTCCGCGTCCAGTTGCTGGCAGGCTGAGAGGCACCGGCATGACATGGTATGGGTGGGAAGAGACAACTTTGGGAAAACAGTGTCAGTTTGTCAGCTCTGCTGCACACGTCTGCCCCCTCTTCCTGCGCGGTGCTTGAGGATTCTGTTGATTGTCAAGGCGATCTCACGAGTATTTCCTCCATACTTGATAGCTGCCTACTCCTCTGTCTGATTGGGGCTGTGGAGGGTGTAGTATTTATTGTGTTGTAATATTTTTAACATCCTGTGACCTCATGCTAGAAATTTTCTATTGTTTATAGAACCTTTTTTGTAGAAATGTTAACTCTAAAGCACATCTGCATGTCAGTAAAAATCTGTTTCATACAGCAAGGGCCCTATCCGCCTTTTTCAAACAAGTTCTAAAGCCAGAGATGCAGTCCAGTTGCCTGCTCATGGATGGCATCCTGCCATGGAAAGTGAGGACCTGTTCCAGACCCACCCAGGTTCTCGGTACCTCCCGGGCCTGCCACACTCTGCAGAGGAAGCTGCAGCTCTTTCTCTATGAAGCTGTCAGTAGCAACGTGGCTGGGACTGCAGCAGAAACCCTTCTTCCTACCCAACCTTCCCTGCAGATAGGTGAGGTGGCACATCCATTCTGGCCATTTGTGTATCTTCTAGGGTGTGTGGCTGTGCTCCCAAACGACTTCAGTCCGGCTTTCTCAAAGGGTTAAAAGGACTTCACCTCAGCCTACACCCTCACCTGCAGGGAACTCTACTAAATGCCAAATCTGTTCTCAGAAGAGGCTCCATATTTTTAGACCAAAACTAAAAACCGTCTCAAAAGTTTTGGACATGAATTTATTTACATCAAGGGCCTTACAAAGGCATAAAGTCCCATTCTGTGGCACATTTAACAAAATGTATTGATTTGACAAACTGGAATTGGACCTCTAGTCAGTCCCATGGGTCCAGCAGTCCCATGGAACCACCGGAGGCAGCCAATCCCAGCCACTGTGAGTCCCCAGCAGCCTCAGTCCATCTGCACAGCATCCAGTTCATCCAGGAACCGCTGGCACTTCCCCATCAGCACTTTGATGGCTTCGCTCACCAGCACATCTGGTGGCAACACTCCTGTAGACTCCACAGAAACTGGGGGCCAGAGGGACACTTCAGCTAAGCAGCATCAGAGAACACCCCATCCCCAGCACACCCTGCTCTGATCTACTTACAGATGTAATGATCCCGGACACGGGCAAGCCGCACAGCCTTCTTCAGCTTCTCATGCCGGAAGACCTCCCTGCTGAAGGTGTCCAGCCTGGGATTAGCAACTCGGGCCACCTTCTTACCTAATGAAAACAATGTACATTACATTTTGTCTGTTAGGAGCATAGAGCTTTTATAGCTCTTCCACCTTCAAAAAGGAGAAACACATCTTAGGTCCCTTCCTGAGAGCACGGCTCATGCCATACCTTGCACTTCCTGCACCTCAATAACACCGGGTGAGAAACAGCGGCTGAGCTCCTCTGCGGCCTCGCCTTCCACAGGTTCAAGCAGGGTGATGTCTGGCAGAAGCCTGTAACTGGCTGTTGCCACCGGAGAGAACTTGGCATGATCTTTGCCTGGACAGAGGAGTCAGCCCGTGAGAACCTTTGCCCTTGCACACTGATGATACAAACCCACCTGCTTCCTACCTGCTGGCAACGTCCCAGCAGAGTTCTGTAGCCACATCTGTGCCACTGCACATCAAACCACCAGCCCACCCCTGCTCTCCCTGCCCGGGCGGTCGCAGAGTTCTCACCAATGCCTTTGACACAGTGCATGAGCAGGTCAATCTCCTGGCCAGGCCGCAGCTGGGCAATGAGGATGTCATCGTGCACTGGCCGGATTGTGCCCTCTGGGAAAACATCAGCCTGGTTCCCCAGGGGAACCCATGTCATGTGCCTGGTGTACACTGCAGGAAAAGTATGTCAGAAGGCCCCATCCTAGAAACCAGCCCCCGTCAGCACATGAGCCCTCTTCCTAACCTGCTGCTCACCCTTGTGGTTCACATAGAGTTCGTTGGGGTCCGAGGAATCTTTAGCAGCGTGGGGGTTCCGGGTGCACCTGACCTGCAGCCGGAACTGCAGAGTGTCTATCTCTGTGCCTTCTTCGTCTCCTGCACACAAACGGAGAATGGCAACTTTTGAAGAACTAGTAAACATTTGAGAACCAGGCAGTATGCTGAAAGCTTTACACGTTCTCAATCTGACAAATTTAGGAAGGGAAGGGCAAGCATTCTAACAAGAGCTGACGTATCAGAAGATGAGTAACTTGCCCAAGGTCATCCAGTAGTCAGTCTAGGAACTGAACCCAGGCAGTCTGATCCTAGAATGTACTTGAGGACAGAGCTGTTCCACTACTCTCAAAATTTCATTTTCTTGCTAGGCGTGGTGGCACACACCTGTATTCCCAGCATGCAGGAAGCTGAGGCAGAAAGACTGCCACAAGTTCAAGGCCAGCCTGGGATACACAGTGAGTTCAAGGCCACCTTGAAATACACAGCGAAATCTTGTCTAAAACAAAATAAAACAAAAAAAGTTCGTTTTCCTAAGACACTCACCTTCATTCCGAAATTCAAAAAGCCGAGGATCAGCAAGAATAGGAATGAGCCCCAGACGGTGAGCAAGGATCTCATCCTGGACAATGGATGTGTTGTTGTACACCAGGACCTTTTCCACAGCCATTGTTGGCACCTGCCCAAGAAAATATGGCCCATGTGCCAAAGCCCACCAGACTCCCGACCTAGCCACTGCCCAAGACAGGAACCCCTTCCAAGAAGGATGCTTAATGACAAGACAAAGGGGAAGAAAAGTTCAGGAAAATTCCTGGGGAAATAAGGGGAAGGGAGAGCTTGAGACAGTTCTACAAGCAAGGTGCTGATGTAGTTCCTCAGACAACTCCACGCCTGCTGTACCTCTGCTAAAAGAATTCGCCGGAAAGCGTTGGCAATTGCTGCATCAATTCCCACCATGTCAAACTCCAATGAGTTTTCATCCATATGTACCACATCCACGCGGAAGTTCTAAGGAGACAGAAAAAAACAGTAAAACATGAAGTATGCTTCTCTGATCAAAAGTCTTCTCTGTAACAGCCCTGGATATTTCTCTCAACATTCTAACATGCTCTCATTCAAAACCTTCCCTCTGCACAGAAGACTCCTATTAGATGCTCTTTGTCCTTTGGTGCTTTGCTTCCTTTGTTTTCTTTTTTCTTTTTCTTTTTTTTCCTTTTTGAGACGGGGTCTCACTACGCAGTTCAGGCCGGCCTTGAGCTCACTTTGTAGCCCACACTGCTCTCTAATTCTCAAGGATCCTCCTACCTCAGCCGTCTGAGTGCTGGGATTACAGGCATGTGCCACCATGCCTGGCGGCTTCCTTTGTTTTCTTAAACAGGGTCTCACCATATAGTTCAGTTTGGTCTTAACTCACTACATAGCCCAGGCTGGCCTTAAACTCTGGCTGGCACAGCTACACCCAGCAAAAATCTCTTCTTTTCCAAACAATTATTACCTTTGTTTCTCTTTTTTTCTTTTTTTTCTTTGTCTTTTTGAGACAGGGTCTCACTAGGCAGTTTAGGCTGGCCTTCACTCACTTTGTAGCCCAGGCTGGTCTCAAACTCACAACGATCCTCCCGAGTGCTGGGATTACAGGCATGCACCACCACTCCTGGCTACCTTCCTTTCTGAGGACCACTCCTTCTCTGAGTCCTAAATTTACTATACTCCGCCACCCCCTAAATGTTAACTTTGTCCTACATTCTGGTTGTTTCCCTCAACCACACTCCTTCTACTGGCAACCCAAAAAATTTTCTCACTTCACATCTTTCAATCTAATAGCCTACTAGACAGGAAATTACACCATCATCCCTGTTGCCTGATCCACTTCCCCTTATTGGTAAATGGCAACATCATCCATCACAGCAGATCCCCAAGCCATTTTACAAGCTCGGCCTCAGCCCTTACCAAAGCAATTGAAAATTTACTGGGTGCCATCCCTTGCCACCATAGTCTCAGTTCAGTCCTTCAATCCCAGCACGGTATATAACCTAGCAGATCTGCCTTGTCAGGTATGATCCTCCTCAAACCCACTGCCTCCTAGCCATCAAGGCTGCAATGGGGTCGTGCCCCTTAAGAACTCTGCTAAAGCTCCCTGTGACCTGCAGGGCCCAAGACGCACGATCTTGTGACCACTCATGCTGGCCCCCAACATCCCGGCGACAGCGAGCTGCTGGGACACACACTGGGGACACCTCACCCAGCTCGCTGTTCGTAGTCTCTCCTCACTGCTCTCAAATTTTACTCACCGTTCAAAGCTCCATCCAGATGTCATCTCCATGAAATTTTACATACCTCTACTGTCAGCCTGTCTAAACTGCGAGCCTCTGCAGGATGACCGCCCCACTCCACGACCCCGTCCAGATCCCTATCAACTGCCTTTGCCACACTATACAGCAATCATTGCTTTACGCATGCTACACCCCAAAAATTGTTTTATAGAACAGAGCAGCAACTGTCTAACTTGGCCTCTCCATGGAGCGCCTAGAATAAGGCTCAATAAACGTTTAATTTTACCGGGACAACCCTAGGAACATCTGAGGCACATGCTGCTCGGATCATTCTGTCGGGCCCCAAACCCTCTCCGGACACCTCCGGCCGCACCCACCTTCTCGAAGCGGTCCTGGTCCCAGGCATCGTCGTAACCCGAATAGTTCCCGGGAAAGTCCGTGGTATGAACCTAGGGCAAAGACAGGAACCTGTCCACCAAGGGGCAGTAGGGCCCAGCGCATCCCCATTCTGATCCTAGCCCAACAAACCCTGTTCCTGTCTCAGTCTTCCTCCCGAGCGCCAGGCGTGAGGCCCTTACGTTGCGAACCCCGAACTCCCCCAGAACCACGCGGTTCCGCATCTCCTCCACCGCCCGCGACGCCGCCATCTTCAACCACTCCACGAGACCTGGTCCTCACTCCGGCGCTTTTTTCCCAGCAGCCTGCTTTCGTATCCGTAGCAACGCTCCGCCCCCTCGCGCCGGAAATATCGCGATGCTTAGTCCCGCCCGCCCCCTCCACGTCCGCAGCTTCCGGAAGTCGGTCCTGGCCAAACATCCGGGTTCTCCGTGTAGAGGTCCGGTAGATACTATCTGTCCTCCCCTGGGCACCGTCTTTGGCTCCGGCCCACCCTCGCCCGCATCTCCCAGTCGCACGGGGCTCGAGCGAGCTTCAGCGACGGGAGCCCTCGAGGGACATGGCAACTCCAGCCGCGCCGGCCGGCGGGGCCCGAAGCGGGGCTGGCCCAGAATGGGGAGGGTTCGAAGAAAACATCCAGGTATGGCCCCAGAGCTCCGGCTGTCAGCAGCCCCGGGGCCAAAGCCGCCCTAAAGTGTCGTCCACTGCCCTTCCCCTGGAGTTGTCTTCCAGGTGCCCTTACACGACTCAGGGGCCCTAGTGCCCACTGAGTCGGGGCAGGATTATGCTCCAGCCGGAGTACCGCGGGCTCCGGACCTGCGGGAGGGGCGGAGAAAAGCGTCACACCTTCGGGACAAGTTAGGAAGTCGGTCGGGGGCGGTCGTGGTGTGGGGCAGGGACTGGGCTCCACTGGCACTGTGGATATGGTCTTGTCCGGGGCTTGGGAAAGACAAAAGAAATGGGCGCTTCTGCAGCCCGCTGAGCGTCTGACCAGGAAAGAAGCAGACGTATATGAAGACAAGCAGCAAGTTTCCTGCCTGCAAGAGTCCTAGAGCCGGCAGCCAAGGGGTCCGAGAGTAAACGAGGGGAAAGAGGGGGTGTGATCCGTCGTGATTCCAAGCTATGTCCTCTGCAGTGCAGGAACAAGCCCTAAGTCCTGGGATGGTCAGATTTAATGGCTACAACAGAAAGGCAGTCTAGGAGCCATTGTCTCCACAGGGCGGGGGCTCAGCTGTGATTGACATGGAGAACATGGACGACACCTCAGGCTCCAGCTTCGAGGACATGGGTGAGCTGCATCAGCGCCTCCGCGAGGAAGAGGTGGATGCTGATGCGGCTGCTGCAGAGGAGGAGGACGGGGAGTTCCTGGGCATGAAAGGCTTCAAGGGACAGCTGAGCCGGCAGGTGGCTGATCAGGTAAGCAAGGCTGAACCCTTGGCACATGGGAAAGTGGCCCTAGGCCACACTGGTGCTGTTCACCCCAGGCTGTCCAGTTAGAACCACGTAGAAGTCCAACAGAAAACAGGCAGCAGGGGCTGGAACCAAAAGTCTCATAATTCCTGTCCCCATCTCCCTTCAGATGTGGCAGGCAGGAAAGAGACAAGCATCCAGAGCCTTCAGTTTATATGCCAACATCGACATCCTGAGACCCTATTTTGATGTGGAGCCTGCCCAGGTGCGAAGCAGGTGAGGATCCTTCTCCTGCCAGAAGCTTCCCTCCTGACACCTAGTGCTTCATCCAGGCTGTGCTGCTCCAGACTAGATACTGAGCCCCCACTCGGGTGGGCTCCCCTCTTCCTGACCTAGCACTGTCCTTCCTGCACCAACATTGAGCACAACATGGCAGTGACACATTGCCTTCCTCCTCTTTGCACCCCGCACACTGCTGCACCTCTCACAAAACCTAGTTCAGGCCAGGCGTGGTGGCCCTCACCTGTAATCCCAGCACCTGGGAGGCCAAGGCAAGAGGATTATAAATTCAAGGCCACCCTGGGCTGCATGGCAAGATCCTGTCTCCAAAACAAAACTAGCTCACAAGGCACTTCCTTTGTTCTGCATTCCTCAGCCCACCCCATTTGTTCTCACCCAGGGCTGCTATGTGGAACTCTGCCCTTTCCTCCAGCAGATGGCACTTTAACACTCAGTGTGGTCTTATCACTGTGTCTATCTCCCTGTAGACCAGCAGCCCCTCAAAAGCAGGCTCTGCCCTCTTTATGTTTGCATTCCTGGTACCAGAATAATCTCAGAACCAGCATGTTGGGGCATAGTTATGGACTGGCTTCTCAAAAGGTGGATTTAGCTGAGTGTTGTAGTCCACACCTGTAGTCCCAGCTGCATGTGAGGCCGAGGCCAGGAACACCACAAGTTCAAAACCTGTCCAGGCAACTTAGTGAGACCTTGTCTCAAAAGAGGCGGAGACATAGCCCAGTGGTATAGAGCACTTGCCTAGCCTTTGGGAGGCCCTGCATTCATTCTCCAGTAGTGCCAAGGGCAGAAGTGTGGGGGCCTTAACCTTAGCTTGGTTCTTTGTTCATCCTTTAACCAGTTTTAATCAAATACCCAGAGCCAGGTGCACTGTTCATGGTGCTTGATTCAGTGGTGAAGATAGATGGGAGCCTTGCTATTGAGTGCAGTTACACTAAAGAACTCATGGGACAGGGCACACACAAGGGACACCTGAGCCTAAGCAGGCTGCTGGGACAGAGCTGGCTTCTGAGAGAAAGTAATAACTAGCTGAAAACCCAGGCCAGTTACTTAGGAAGGGATCTTTCCTTCTAAACCTTTCCTAAGACTGCATCCCAACTGAGTTCTGGGACCCTCTGCTGACGTCTGCCTGTCTTGAAGGGAGATCAAGTCAGATAGGTAATGGCCAGGCCTCCTCCCAATGCTCAGCAGGCTTCTCTGAGTTCCCCAAATAGCTGCTGCCCCAGTTGAGCACTGTCATCCTTCCCTGCATCTTTACAACCCTTTTCTCCCCCTGTCCCCCAGCATGTCTGTTCCCTGGAGCTAGACAGATGACTAGGGTCAGTCCTCCTCCAGAGCCTCCTGACCCAGTGCTACCTCTGCTCTCATCTCTCCTCTCCTCTCCCAGGCTACTGGAGTCCATGATCCCCATCAAGATGGTCAACTTCCCCCAGGTGACTAGGGGGTGGCTGTGGGGGCGGGGGCACCAAGCCAAGCCTGGGAAGGTGGAAAAAAGCATCATACCCTCCGGCCTGAAGGAGTTGGTATTTTGACAGAAAATTGCAGGGGAGCTGTACGGCCCTCTCATGCTGGTCTTCACGCTGGTTGCCATCCTTCTGCATGGGATGAAGACGTCTGACACCATTATCGTAAGCAGGCCAGAGGATGGGGGGTGGCTGAAGTAGGTCGAAAGCTGCCCGAAGACACGATGGTAGAGTGAGACAGGCAGCTCTTGCAGAAAGCCCTTGGCAAGTGAGGCTGGGATTGAGGCCTCCCTGGACTAACAGAGCCTTCACCCCACAGCGGGAGGGCACCCTGATGGGCACAGCCATTGGCACCTGCTTTGGCTACTGGCTGGGCGTTTCATCCTTCATTTACTTCCTCGCCTACCTGTGTAACGCCCAGATCACTATGCTCCAGATGTTGGCGCTTCTGGTAAGGAGGCAGGCCTGCCTCTGTCCGAGGGCCCCTGGGCCTAGGGTGGGAGGAGCAGCCAGTGGCCATGTATTTCCCGGGGGCTGGGTGAGGGGCGTGCTGGCACAGCCCAGTGATTTTCCTCTCTGCCACCCTTCTCCCAGGGCTATGGTCTCTTCGGGCACTGCATTGTCCTGTTCATCACCTACAACATCCACCTCCACGCCCTCTTCTACCTCTTCTGGCTGCTGGTGGGGGGGCTGTCCACCCTGCGCATGGTAAGTGGGCACTGTCCTCCCACGGGGAGCCCAAGCTCGGTACCTGCTGAGGCTTTAAGCGGAGGCCGGGGCCACAGGCTGTTCTCTCTTGGTGGGGTCAGTTGTACCCCACCCCTCTGACTCGGGGCCCTCTGAGCTGCATCCCGTGGTCCTAGGTGGCAGTGCTGGTGTCTCGGACCGTGGGCCCCACCCAGAGGCTGCTCCTGTGTGGCACCCTGGCCGCCCTACACATGCTCTTCCTGCTGTATCTGCACTTTGCCTACCACAAGGTGGTAGAAGGTAAGTGGTGTGAGGGCCGTGTGGGCCAGTCAGAGGGTTGCCCAGGTCAGGAGCTGTGCTCATTCATCTCCCGCTTCTTGCATCCCTCCTTGCAGGGATCCTGGACACGCTGGAGGGCCCCAACATCCCACCTATGCAGAGAGTCCCCAGGGACGTCCCCGGTGTGCTGCCTGCTGCCAGGCTTCCTGCCACCATGCTCAATGCCACAGCCAAGGCTCTTGTGGTGTCTCTGCAGTCGCACTGACCGTCTGAAATCCATGAAATCTTTACTGCCCCAGTTTTGGAGCAGAAGATTAAAGGACAGGACTGTGTCTCTTGGCTGGGGTCTGCAGCCATCTCTGAGCTGTACCTACTTAGGTGCCTCCGTGACACCTTTCCAGGCTGCTGAAAGGCACAAGGCTGGGAACTCCTGGCTAGGATTGCCAGGCTCTGGAGCCTGTGCCGAAAGTGGGTCAGCACCCTGAACACGCCCCCCATGTTGCTAATTATAGACTCGATAATTAAAACACTGCTTGAGTCTGGAACTGCAGCTCCTGTTCCAGTGTTCTCCCTGGCACCCTGCCTCTTGTACACACAGGGTTAATGTGCCACGTCTCTTCTTTATCCCCTCACTTGGGCAAGGTGAAGGTGGGAGAGGCCAGACCACTTAGATGGCAGTGACTTTGTGGAACCTGCCCAAGGGCAGAGCACCTGTGAACCCTGGAGTAGAGGGCAGGCCTGAGGAAGAGTGCACACAATATGAATCTCTGCTGCCTGCACTTTCAGTACGGATTGGACAGAAATTTCCAGTTTGAACCCCACGCAGTACAAGGACCTGATGCAGCTGGGCCATCACAGAGCAAACTACCATGGAGCTCACAGCTGAAACCAACTTGACTTTGCCCTGCCCTTCGTGGGCCTGCTCCCATCGAATCGGTTTTCTCTTTCTGTCCTCTTCTTTCAAGAATACCCTCACATTGCACCACCCACTACCCCTTCAGTCTGTTCCACTTAAGGTGATTGAAAATTCAGGGCAGGCCTAGTGGCCTCTACCTAAAAAGCCAGCACTCAGAGGCCGAGGCAGAGTATTGCAAGTTCAAGCTCAACCTGGGCAACTTATCAAAAAATTTAACAAAAAAAGAAATGTAGTTCAGTGCAAAAGGCCCACGGTCCATAAAAATCAGATGGCTGTAGAGGAAATAGGGCTTTGGGGGTGTGCGTGTATTGAGGTGGGGTGCTGGTGGGGTTGGAGCCCACGGCCTTGTGCTTGCCAGGCAAATAAGTGCTGTACCACTGAGCCACACCCCCAGCCTAGTATTTAGTTTTTCAAAACAACCTGCCACTGCTAAACCTGAGTCAGCAGCATCTTTACTTCCCACTAAAGGGACCGACAGCCGGGGGCCTTTCATTTTCCCTGTGTTGCCCAGAGCGCTCCCACTACAGTCGTCAGGGTGCTGGGCCCCCTCCCTTACAGGCCCTCGCTGCCACCCAGACACTGTCGCTGTTCCTGGCTCACTTTCATTTTCAGACGTTAAAGGCACCTGCAGGACACCACCCACGGCACCCAGGCCTGCAGTCTCCCTGAAGGGTGTGCAGACTCTGCAGCCGCCAAGGCGCCCGCTGGGGAAGCACAGGCGGAATCCCCACGTACGCGGCGCCTTGCGTCACGGGTAGGGCGGGGCGGGGCGACGGCAGCGCAGATTAAAGGGCCCGGGACCTGCAACCCCAAGAGGGACACGCTGTAGGGGTGGGTGAGTCTTAAGCGCTGGAGATGGCGGGGAATGGGCAGCAGAGCCGGCCTAGTATCACACACGCCCCCTTCACGCGCTGCGGTCCCCGTCGCGCCGTCTCGGTCCCGCCCGTCCTAGGCCCCAGCCCTGTCTTTCCACTGTCCGGTTCGGCACGGTCCTGAGAAGAGCAACCCTCCGCTCGGCGCCCCGTAGTGCGCATAGCCTCTAGGGCCGCGTGGCCAGGCTGGGAGGGGCGGGGCGAACGCCGGTGACGCGGCCCGTTGCTATGGAAACCCGCCGCCTGCTCCGGCGCAGGAGCTGAAGCTGAGCAGCCGCGCGCCGCGCGCCGCCCGCCTTGGGCTGTCCCCGCGAGACGCGCACCG